TTGTATTGGTTTTATTATAAAAGTTGTTCTTAGGCTTTTGATTATGCTAAATAGTTGATTTGGGTTTTTTAATTTTTTCAATGTGGGTTTTCAGCAAGATTAAAAATTACACCTCATTTCCCTAAGATGCTTTACACACACACACATATATATATATATATATTTTTTTTTTTTTTTTTTTTGAGACAGAGCCCAAGCTGAGCCCCTGGGTAGAGTGCCATGGCTTCACTGCTCACAGCAACCTTCAACTCCTAGGCTCAAGCGAGTCTCCAGCCTCTGCCTCCCAAGTAGCTGGGACCACAGACGCCCACCACAACGCTCAGCTATTTTTTTGGTTGCAGCCATTATTGTTGTTTGGCAGGCCTAGGCTGGATTCAAACCTGCCACCTTAGGTGTATGTGGCTGGCGCCTTAGCCGCTTGAGCCACAGGCGCCAAGCCTACAAATATATTTTTAAATAAAATTTTTCCACTAAGAAATGTAATGATTCTAGAATATTTTTAAAACGAAGAGAGGAGAGAGAAATCCCTGTGGACCCACCAATCAAAGACAAACCACTGTTGACATTTAGTGTATTTCCTTCACGTCTCTTTTCTGTGTATCTTATTTCTGTATACTTGTCAGCATATTGTATATACAATTCTATATTATATTTTGCTCTATTCTATAATTGTTTCCTGTTATAAAAATTCCAAAGTATCATGTTCAGTAACTCTGCTACATCTATCATGTGGCTCATGCATTGTTTACTTATAAAAACCTCCCAAGTTTGGCCAATTAAATAAAATTACAGGTAATAGTTTGGTATGCAATATGTTGGTACCTGTTTTTTATAAAAATATCCCTAAAGAGCAAACTGTAATCTTATGCTAGCTGTTAATGAGTAGTAATAGCTAGGTGAGGCTCACACAGGAGCTCCTATGACAGTGTTTATAAATAATTAACTTTTCTGAAGAGGACCCCTGGGAACACGTTAATAATGGAAGGAACAAGGGTAGTTATCTTTATCTTGAAATTTTATCTCATCTAGTATATAAAACGTTCCAGTAACTCTTTGCCCTGGTGTTTATAGTCTGTTACTCTGTGTGTGTTCATATGTACATATGTAGGTATGTTTATGTATGTGCACATATGTGCCTGGGTATAGGGGAATTACTGGTGTTCAGCCCAGAAGTTTTAGGGTAGGAAACCTTATCCTTTCCTTCTTCAAGAGTCAATCAAGGTCAATATTTTCTGCCTCTTTAACAATATTGACAATTCTTTTAACCTTCCATACCCACTAGCATTGCCTTATTTTGATCCTCATCATATTACATGTGGGCTATAGCTAGTATTTCCTAACCAATCTTCTTTTATTTTGACTTGTCTCATTCATTATTCAACTACATTCCTCACAATAAAAGAAACATCTACAACTTTCTGCCCCAATGGGCTTTCTGAAATGTAAACTATTTTTGAAATATTCAGTAGTTCTCAAATGTCCACAAAAAATTAACCTCCTGCTCTTACCTACTGACCTTCTTCCTTATTTCCTTATAATACCTGGAAGACAAATAGATGTCTTTGTGGGGGTAGTTCCACAACTCTTATTAATCTCCTTCTGTGGGATCTTCCCTACCTATAAGTTTGGAATCAGTCTCTTGTGTTGTCTTATGTGCCTCTGAATTGGCACCAGCTGCAGATGATTAGACGTCCAGCTTTCCCAAGCTTGGTTAATGGGAATCTTTCTTTTGGAGGAGTTGGAACCCCAATGAGCTCAGATTGTACAGAAAAATGGCAAGTCTGCAAAGGGAAAGAACTAAAGTTGATACAGGTAGAGCAGTAAGATGAAAGACCATGTGGCCTCAGGGAAGGAGTAGCTCTCTTGGCTCCAGATGTTATCCAGTACCTGATCTGCTCCAAGATGCATTCTGGTCCTTGAGTTTTGTAAAACATCGCTGTATTCTCAAAACAAAATACCTATTTTTTTGTTTATTAAACTAGCTCAAGAGGTTCATGTGCATTACAATGTTTAACTAAGACATGGACTCATCTTTCAAGACGCAGCAAAGGTTGTTCTTCCCTAAAGATATCACAAACACCAATATCACCCTCTCCTTGACCCTCATTTGTGCCTCCCTCTACCTGCAACACTTCATTGCTCTTACATGCCTGTCACCTCATACCAATCTGTGAACTACTTAAGAGCAAAGGAAATGTCTTATGTATGTTTACATCTCTCCAGTGACCATTACAGTACAGGGTATATAAATGTTTAACACATTTACCTCATCAGAGATTGTAATTTGATAGCCTGGAGCATGATTTTAACCTGAGCAAATATTTTGTTTGGCCCACACAAAGAACTTTTTTAGTGTGAAGTGTGGGTGCGTGTGCGTGTGTAAAATCTAGTATTTTTACTTTACTAAGGATAAATTTAGCTCCTAAGAACATTCCTTACTATTATACAATCTAGTGTTTTAATTTCCTCTCTATTTGACTGAAACATTAGAGTTGGCCATTTATTTGGTCAATGTTAAGAATCTTTTGGAGGAGCTAAGCCAAAGGGGGACTAAAGCAGTCTGGTAGGCACAAAGGGAGATAGGATGAGACACAATTGTGAAGTAACTCTACCAAAAATGTCTTCCCAAGGTCAACAACGATCTCCTTTATGTTAACTCTGATGGGCATTTGACCTTTCTCCACAATTTGGCATTGTTGACTAATTCTTCCTTGACTTTTCTCCCTTGCTTGCTGGGAATTGACTACTAATTTTTTTTTTTTTTGTACCCTCCAACCATCCCTTATTTCCTTCATATGCTCAGCCTTGTTCACTTGCTGACTTTATACCCTCCTCTTCTATTTTACTATCTCTCAGGTAGATCTTATAATTTCCAGCCATGCCTTTTAATTATTTATGTACGTAGAATATTGACCGGTAAATCATTATTCTGGCCCAGGTGTCATCTTTAAGATTTATATTTGGACATTCCACTTCAATATCCCAATATCAAACTCAATATATTAAAACTGTATCCTTTACCTCTACCTTTCTCCTCAGAGAAAGCACACCAGAACAAAACCCTGTCCCCATCCTATATTTTCTCTTTTCCTGAACCATCCACAGAGGTGATGAAGCTGGAAATATGTGTGCCAGCTTTTATTACTCCATCACCAACTACATCAAGTCATCAAATTGTCCCATTTCTACCTCCTTAAAAACTCTAACTTGATACTAGAATAAGTGAATAAGGATTTGCAACCTAATTCTCCTAAACTTAACACTTATCTCAATTTTATTTTCTATGACTAATGTATAAATAATTTTCTACAGTTGGCACAGTGATGATTCCAGATAAAAATTACTGAATTTCAATTTCCATCCTTGCCAGTGATACACAAAGTTGTGCTGGGAGGCTTGGGAGGAAAGAAAGGGGGAAAGGCAGAAGTTTATGGATTAAAAAAAAAAAATGCTTTCAGATCCTTTTCTTAGTGTCATCTCTGCTACCTCAGCAAATAATAGCCCCAAATTTATGTTATAACATTTATTTGATGCCTATTTAAACTGCTTCACTGGACATTTTACATCTGTTAAACTTTTTTATAAAGACACAAAATTGCCTTGGCATAGCTAGACTTCATGTTCATGAGAGCTTACATGTGGCAAACTCTGCAGCAACTCCAATCTTCCAGGATAGTTTGGAAAAATGAGAAGGAAAAATTTCACAACAATTGAGAAAAAAAGTTCATGACCTATTTTGGTCATTCCATTTTTAGTTATTAATAGGATAAGGGAAACATGCTCATTATATATCACTGTTCCATTAAACAATGTTATCAAATAATAAAGTAACCTAAGGGTTGAAAGTGTTGGTAAAATGAATTTTTGGTGTTTTTCACTACCGAATTTCCAGATGCAAAGTAGAGAGACATCTGGACCTGAATATCTACATTTCTGTGGAATTTTTTTGTTGGTTCACTTTTTTTTTTTTTAATAGATACAGATTAGGTCACCCACTGTCTAGCCGTTACCATTGTTTTCCATAACCACATACTGAAGGATGCTGTTCTTTTTCTTTAGTCAAAATGCTGTGTTTCTGCTCCAGTACATGCTATAGACCTTGCAAGCTAAGACGACAGGCTGCTCCTACACCTCTGATGCACTCCTAGGATCCCTTCCAGATCCACCAATCTAAAGATATTCATTGCAATTGCTTCTGAATGAAAGAATGAAATAAACTCAGCTCTGCTGCTCCAGTGTTGCTGTCCTACCTGTAAAACTATACTTCATCAAAGCGGGAGACACACCAGCGACCTAGCACCATTTCGCACAGCAGAGGAAAGGGAAAGCGATCTATTGCCAAAGAAATGACACAACTTGTTTCTGAAGTGGTTCACATCATCCTCACTTTTGAACAATCCAATGCTCAGAAAACAAGACAAATCTCCACTGATGTTAAGGATGTGAAGTAAAGTTCCTTGCTCGTGTCTGGGACGATGGAGAAAAGTAACTGAGAAAGGGCATCTCCACACTGCAATAGTGAAATTAAGATCCAAAGCCCATCGCCGGAATCCCTAACCATCTCCACAATCTCTTGTTTTACTCTTTGCCCTGAAAATAAACTAAGTTAATATTGTGACGACTACCTCCTTTAACTTGAACCAAAGGTCCTGGGAAAACACAGGTACAAACTGTCAACATGGAAAGGGCTGTGCCCCACCTTCTGCTGTAACCAGGCTGAAGCCCGCCACGTCCTCAGGAGCTGGTCCGCAGACACCCGGAGCATCCTCCACGGTCCAGACCTGGGCCGCACAGCCCGCTCCGCAGGGCGCCGCCCCAGACGCGGCCCCGCCCCTCACCTTGCCAGCGCCGCGCTCCGGGCGCTAAGGTGCGTGCGGCGCTCGGTGATTGGTGGAGGCCGGCGTTGCCCGGCCTCCATTGGCTGCGTGGGCCTCTTTGTTCCTGGTCCCCGCCGCAGGCCCGCCGCAGCCCAGTGGGCAGCGGAAGTTCGACGGCGCCGGATGAGTGGCCGCAGCCCCGGCGCCGTAGCCCCACAGGTTCCTCCTTCACTTTCCACAGTGGAACCGGAGACGAGCGGAGCCTGAACGTGAGATCCCAGGCAGAAGGAGGGAAGACCCCCTGACAAACATGGACGTGGAAACCAAAATTAAGAAGGTAGGAGGGCGCTGGCGGCGCTCAGCGGCCGCTTCACCTGCACGGGTCCTGGGGTGCGCCGCGTGGGAACCCTCCGGCGGGTGGGGCGCGCGGGCCGTCCGACGCGAACTCGGCTTGGGGTCCCCAGTGTCCCGAGCCCAGGTTCCCGTTCCTCTGGGTAGAGGAGATGCCAGGTGGTCCCACCAACTCGCGAAACCCCGGAGCGACAGAGTCGGGAGCGCGAGCGCGGACAGGCGCGGAAGACTTTCCGGCCGGGTCACTAAGTCCCAACGGCTGGAGGTGTTTGAAAGTTTCCTGAAGATGTTTTAGCTGCTCCTATGCCTCTTAAAAAAAAAAAAAAGAAAGAAAGAAAGAAAGAAAGAAAGAAAGAAAGAAAGAAGAATAAAATTAGAGCGAGTTCGGGAGAGACGATGACAATTTTTCCTAACTCAGGAAGTTCAACTTTATTAAGCCTGTGTGGTTTAGGCGCAGAGATGTGGCTTTGACAGCCCTCACCTCCTCCCTTTCCTGCTTGGCTGCCCAAGGCCCTCTAAAAGTGAGTGATGATTTAATGCGTTTCCTTTGCACCCGCAGGCTGGTGATAACTCCTAATGTGATGGCCTTTTTTTTTTTTTTTTTGTCATTCATTACTTGACTGCCAAAGCACTGCCTCTCTCTTAGGGAGTTATCTCTCAAAGGAAGCATTCTCCTTGCTTGGCAGCAAGCCCCAGAGAGTGATTGTCACCCTTGCTTCAGCGGAGGGAGGCGTTTCCAGCCTGACTGCTCCCTCCCAGTCATCTGGACTGACAGCCCCACCTGAGCCCACTTGCTGGTTATGGGGGGCCTTGTGTCGCCTGGGAGAAAGGGGTGTGGACCACACTATGACTCAGAAGAAATCCTGATGTCACATTCCAGTGTAAAGTTCTGTGTGAAAGGTCTTGTTCCAGAGAATTACTCATGTTTACTTTATGGTAAATTTGAGTTAGCTGTCCTTTATCAAATAGGGAAGTTTTGCAGAGAGGGGAGAGAGAGAAGTTAATCTTCTCTTGGCCATTTGTGGTTTGAAATACTATTTTGTCTTTTAAAGATAGAGTCTCTGAATTGAGAATCCAGTTTATTTTATGCCCAGAATTGAATTTTTTAATATATGCAAATGCCAAGTATTAGATTAGGAAGTTGTGGACACATAAAAACTTGAAATGAGAAAAAAGTTTCTTCCTCCCTTACGGCTAAAGCTAGCAAGCGCTCAAAAGGGAATCCAATAACAGGAAAGCATAAATTCTAAGAGTAACCTGATTGCTTTCTATTCTCTTCCCATTTGGTTTCTTTCTTTCTTTTTTTTTTTTTTTAATGACACTAGTATTTTTGGTTAATCTTGTTTGTTGCCGGGAAATCATTTTACAAATTAGTCTTGTATTGATGAACACTGCACTCATGTTTACTTGAAAGATCAAAATTAAGAACTACAATTTTGTACTTGTCAGAAATTGGGGGGGGTCGTCTTCTCCCGGTTTATAAGTGTTCATCTCAACTACTTTGTAAAAGTCAACATCTTTTAGGACAGAGGGGAACGAAGAGGCAAAGCACAGGATTTTTAGGGCCACCACACTATTGTCTGTGATACTGTAACGATAGATACGTCACATTATACATTTGTCAAAATTTGCTGAATGTACACCAAGAGTATAAACTCTGTACTTTGGTGATAATGATGTGTGGTTGTGTTCCATCAGTTGTAACAAATGTGCTGCTCTCATGGGGGATGTTTGCAGTAGGGGAGGCTGTGAGTGTCAGGATTCATGGGAACATTGTACTTTCTGCTCCGTTTTGCTGTGAGCCTAAAACTTCTTTAAAACAAGAAAGACTACTTAAAAGGAAAAAAAAAATCAACATCTAAATGTGTTTCTGGAACAATTTGAGGCAAGTAGTAATTCTGAGGGGGAAAGTCCAAAATTAAGATTTATATGTGCTTGCAAGGGAAAAATCTAGACATTATTTATAAATAATTTTGTTAGAGTTTCAAAATGTGGATTATGATGAACAATGCTCTTGACCTTTGGCATACTTTGCTTCTCCACTCCCTCTACTTTAAAAAGTTATCTTTTGAAATAAGGATATTAATCTCTGTAATTCTTTCTTTCTCCATCTCTGCTCCCCTAAAAGGATTCTATAAAGTAAAAGCTTTTATAGATAATTCCATCATGTTAACAAATCCCTGTTTCACTACCTCATCTTCACTGGTGATTCTTAGGACAAAGTCCTCAGCTAGTAAATTGGAGACCATTAAAACACCCCAGAGTTGTTAAGTTTGACTACTGTTGGTATCTTCTCTGGCTTTGTAGGACCCTGATGTTCTGTGGATTGACTAAAAGTTTCCCAGTACTAAAGAGTTTAGAGATCTCAAGAATACATTTTATAGTCTTAGTCATAATCTCAAAAATAAATTTATATTACTTTTAGAAATTGTTTTATAACACACCGAAAGAAGGAGACATTATAGGATTGTCTCTTAATTTACAGGCAGAACCTTCTTACCCTGTTTTGATACCTAGATAGTTTTTAAGTCTCCTGTCTTTTTTGAGTTAGGTATACAAGAAAAGTAATGATTTGGCTGTACCTTGAAAAAAGGAGGTTGGAAGTTGGAACAAAGACAGGACCATTTAAGTGAAACTTATTTGAGTTCTGTGTTAAGACACATGACATTTTCTTTCCTTCTAAAATGCTTACATTGTTGACTTCATAAGGAATTTTTCCCAGATGAACAATGTTATTTTTCTAGCCATTAACATTTCATGTAAAAACAAAGTGGGTTGTCCTTATTACATAATAACTCAGACGGATGATGCTATTATAGAATTCTTGGTTCATAAAAGGAGAACTTGTCCACATCATTTGTACAAATTGGGATTAATTACCAGTTAAAACCTACTATCGCAAGGGGGTTTTATAATTACATTTTGCTCTATTTTGTTTTGTTTGAAGTAAGCAAGCTGTTGCTAGGATGTTGGAGCTAGTTTGATTATACAGAGTTTTTGTTTTAATAATAATTTAGAACAGAACTTGACTTTTATGTTCTTGCCCTGTCTTCTGAGTTACACATCTAGACCTTTTCCTTGTATCTCAAGTCTCTCTTGGTAATTGACTTTGTTTTAAGAAGAGTAGATATCTGCTTGGAAAAAACAATGGTCTTTGAGAAGCAGAAACGGAGTCTCATTTTGTGGTGAATGGTAAATCATGGCACACAGCCAGCTGTTCTCTTTCCTTTTTGTGTTATTCTTCCATGAGAGTAGCCTTTTTTTTTTTTT